AAAACCAGCCTCGCGAGAGGGACGGTGCGCGTGGGCATCCGTTACTCGCTTCTTCACGACATTATATATATATATATATATATATATATATAGTTATTTTAATCGTAATTCAAATCATATCAGTGAGTATTCTCAGTTTATCAATTCAAATTCGAATAAGAATGATTAATATATCTGAAATCAAATATTTAATCTATGCACCATATCTACAAATTCATAACTTTATCGAATCTTAGACGACCACAATATATGGTTAGAACATTCTCAAATAAATAGCATTTGCAATTTTGCGTTGTATCGACATAATCTTTGGATTATACATAACCTTTGGATTTCGTTTTGGAGACCAAAGTATTATATATATACACGTATATATGTGTATGTATGTATGGATGTATGTATGTATGTATGTATGGAGAGAGAGAGAGAGAGGGGAGAGAGAAGTGAGAAAGAAAGGAGCTTTTTGCCTGACTTGCAATAAATTGCAATTTACCCAACCACTAAACATTTTAATTTAATGAATAGCTTAACTGATTATTCATTGCGCCATTAATAGATGTTGACCACTCTCCTCTCCACTTCCATTCCTGCCTTACCAAGCAAGATGATAAAAATTGACAATATTAAAAATATTCTAGAACTTTATATTTTGTTAATTCTTTGAATACATATTAAAAATGTAATTGTTATTCTTTATTAAATAAAGTACAAATATGTGGCCGCTTTTAACACAATTATTTCATTCAAGAATATACCATGGTTTACAAGGCCTTGACCCTTGCCTTATCTATAGTTGACCACAAAAAAAGTGCCATTTACCAAATTTATTTGTGACAAAAAGTTCTAAACTAATTACAATGATTTTAAAAAAAGTTCTTAAACGTTTGGACTTAAAAAATCCCAATTAAAACTTTTTCATATTTACATCCTTTTTTTTTATAACGGTAAATGTATTAACTCTTCAAAAAATTGTTGTTCTTATACAACCCGACATTTTGTTGAAACGATCTCTTAAGGTACTGGATTCCATCAAAATAGACTTAGACAAAATAGTAGTGTAAACTCAGAAAAAAGTTATAGTAACGTAGTTGTGATCTAATCGTCGATGTAAGAAAGATCCATCCATCCTCCAACAATGTTGCCGGTGAATCTGAAGAAAGCCCCCTAGAGAGCACCACGTCCCGTACCAATCGGTCAAGCTCCATCCTGATCTTCCCGATTGAAGAAGTCTCACTCCGGTAGATTCTTGCATTTCTTTCCCGCCAAATCAAATATGTTGCTGCTTTACATCTTGATCTTGAATCTTTTAGCAAGAACAATGTCAACCTCCGTTACCAAAAAAAAAACAATGTCAACTTGAAAAACATAAAAAAAAAAATCGTAAAAATGTTTTGTTTCTGCAGAAATCATTTTTCTCAAGTAAATAGTTAGTTCTATGTTATTTTTTGAGGGCTAAATTAGGGTTCCTTATATATATTTCATAAACTAAATATGAAATCGAATGCGGGGTATTATAATATTGAAAATATTAGAAAACTAAAGCTTTTGTAAATGCTTAAGTAACCAAATTCCTAATCAATTCATGATTCTATTACTGTTTAAGGTGAAGGGTTATTTATCCATTTATTTATGGTTGGGTGGAGGGATAATCACTTACTAAGCTCTTATTGATTAACTTTAAATTTTAATATTTAAAAAAAGAACCTTGAAGAAGTAAAAAAAGGATGGCAAGAGAGAGAGAGAGAGAGAGAGAGAGAGAGAGAGAGAGAGGTGAAACAGCCATGTTTTGAGGGCGGAGACAAGCACCGCCTAAGCTTACTTGACTTTGCTACTTTCGGCTTTCTTTTCTCCACCATTTTCATCAAATCCAAAGGGTTTCTCTCTCTATCTCTCTCTCTCTCTCTAATATCGCCTTTTCTTTGGTGTTAATTAATTTCTTTCATGTTGTCGGGGGGCTGGGATTTGATTTGCTCTATCTTGTACTCTGCAGGCTGCTCTTGAAAAAAAGAAAAAAAAAATCTTTGTGCTTTGTTCTTCTTGTTTCGCATCCTTTCTATGGGATGAGCGAGTTGAAAAGGGTTTGGCTTTTTTCTAGGTCTTGCATGTCTGAAACGGCTTAACTTGAAGATGAGTCAATTTAGCTCTGATTTCCTCTTTGCATGGTTCGAATTTCGGAAATCTATTCGATAAAGAAGCTTACTCTCTCTCTCTCTCTCTCATTCTCTCTGGGCAAAATTCCCTTTTTCCAATTGCATGTCGTGCTCTGTGTTGATCTCGTAGTGCTAATTCCGTTTATATGTGAATTCGTTTGGTTTTTGATCTGATTTGTTATGTTGAATCGTTGCCAAAGTTTGGATCTTTGCTATTTTGGGTGCCGCTTTAGGATCTGACAGATTATATTGCAACTATATCAGTGGCACCTTTTCTATGCCTTTGCAGAATGTTGATCTTCCTTGATTGTCTTCCAATTCGAACTCCCAACTCGTTTATTCTTCAAACTTCTCGAGCCCCAATTCGAGCCAAAACCTGTTGATCAATCTTTCTACATATATATATATAGATGAACTCAGAATTTGGATACTGGACTTGATTTCTTCTGCATGGTTGCTTTTGTTTCTATCTTAGATTTGTTGTTTTTTTTGTTGATATGTCTTTTGGGTAATGTACAACTTTGGTTCCTTTGAATGGAATGTTACTATCTTCACTGGTTCCTTTTTGTTGGATGACAGGTGACTGATACAAATGGGAGCAACACATACTCTGTCACTTGCGAATTGCGATAGCTTTATGAAGTAGGGTTTTCGGACAATGCAAGAGTTCCATAGGAAAGATTCACCGTCAAGTGCTGCTTATACGTCTTCGTTCACTCTAACACTTACCCTTCTTGGGAAAACTCTGTGCCAAGCAACTCAAATGTCCAAGGGTCATCAATGACTGACAATTTAAGCTTGAGAATGGAAGTTATGTCTACCCATTTCCATGGGATGAAACAATCTGGGTTTCAGTTGAAGGACCAGGATTCATCCTCAACTCAATCCACTGGACAATCTTGTGGCGAAGTTGCCAGCTTTGTGGAACATAACCATTGTACCAACCTTTCAGGTCCTACATTATGAATTTTTAAGAGTTTATATTGCCGGAAAGAGAATGCATCAACTTTAGAGCTATATGATCTTGTGCCATTTTTATAGGTAATAATCTCTGGGAACTTGTCTTGATGTAGGGTGTGAAGAAAACTCGGGGAAGCCGGATGGAAGTCATACGAAGTCCACCTCGTCGATGGTATCTCAAAATTCTGTGTTTCCTCCTGCTCAAGTTAGTTAAATCATCTTTGACTCTCTAACCTTTCAAAGATCGGGTTTTGAGACAGAGAATCAATATGATGAATGCTTATTGTTCTGTCCTGACAGGCTTCTTGGCCTCTTCACTGTACTGCCCCGCCATATCTCGGTGGTTTCATGGCTTCTGCATATGCATCACAGCCTATGGTAATATACATATTTTGTTGGTTGCATGCATCCACATAATCTCTAGACATGGTAGTTTACACAATTTGGAAGCATTCACCGCCTTATTTTCTCTCGAGGTTTTCGTTATTACCTATCAGGCATTGTAGATTTTCCAAGTCGAGGAAACTGGTCAACGTTATACTTTTTTTGCGGGGAATTTGTAACACATCATGCTGTTTTTTGCCTTTGTTTTCTGATATGTTGCCGTTGTTTGGTCATGGGCATCTTTTGCAGGTGGCGTATCCAGAGATGATGGGGTTGATACCTTCTAGAATGCCGCTGCCGCATAACATTACAGAGAATGAGCCCATTTACGTTAATGCGAAACAGTACCATGCAATTCTTCGCCGCAGGCAGAACCGGGCAAAGCTTGAAGCTCAGAACAAGCTCATCAAATTCCGTAAAGTATGTCTTTCTTGACGGTTTCTATTAAAAATCTGTGCTTTATGGAACAAGTTTTAAGTTTTTCTTGGACGTTCTTCCAATTCGATATAAACCCGTGTTTAAAAAACCTGTCTTTACATGAAACTTTTTTTTTTGGGTGGGCAGCCGTACCTTCACGAGTCACGCCATCTTCATGCATTGAAGAGAGCGAGAGGGTCGGGAGGTCGGTTCCTCAACACGAAGAAGAAGATTAAAGAAACCAAACAAGTTCATAAGCAGGATTCGCCCAAGAAGAACCCTCTGGAAATTCAGAGGGACAACGGCTCAACGATCATGTCTGGCACGGACAGAACCTCGGCTTCGAACTCCAACCGAAACAACAACGACGGCGACAACAACGGCATGTTCCAACACGCGCAGTTCAGGTTCTGTGGGTACCCATCATCAACCCACCATGTCTCAGTCCTCTTGTGAGAGAGACAGGTGACCAAAATCTCTGCTTCTTCCCGGCGGGAAGTCATCCTTGGCTGCTTCTTTTGGTTTTGTTTGTCGTATTATTGCTGTCTTCATAGTGTGTCCTGTTCTCATATCTCCAAGTCTGCTTTCATGGAAGCAGGTAATGAATAATAATACATATGACCTTTGGGTGTGAACCATTGTGTTTCTTTTGTCTCGGTTACTCTTCGGGGTTTGATTGGAATGGACTGTACCTTTTCACAGCATGAATTTCGACTTTTTCAATTCCGTACAGTAACTTGTAAATTCTACTGAGATAAAAAAAAAAGTAGTAGCAAATTTAGAACAGAACTGAAACCGGAATGAGAACACATTGCTGGTAGTTATTCCGGTTTGCTCCAAATCATTGAAAAATCCCGCCCGGTCCTATCGCTTTGGTATGTTTCCAATCTTCGGTTCAGTCTCTTAAACCGGAATACAAACCCTCCAAACTCCTGTCTTCGTATCTTTCTTCAGTCTTTGAACATCCTGCGCTGTGAGACTAAACTCCCACAGTTATAAGCCATTTGATATGTAGATGTATGTACATATATAATCTCGCAGAAAGAGAAAATGATTTTATGGAAGTATTCTGATGCAGGATAATAGTGGCAGACAAAGAACTCATACTAGTTGAAAATGATTAGATGCCACCACCAAAGTAGATGGGGTTCTGTCCGTACGAGAGATCATTTCAAAAAAGAAATGATTTATATCAGTAATATTGTGGAAATCATTACGTAAAAAAAAATATAATAGTATGATGGCTGTGATCCATGGGACTTTCTGACCAAACATATAAATGTTTAAGATTTCAAGATGTCAGAACAAAAATGCCTTTTGTCTCACTGTTGAGTAATACATGTTTAACCTTATCTCTCCATGTCCATGTCCATGTCCATGCCCATGCCCATGCCCATGCCCATGCCCATACCAACTACCCTATGGCTATGCTACAATATATTCATTATCCTTGCTAATTCTACCCCAGCATCTTTAGTATTACTACCCCCC